CTTAAGTATTAGCCTGGGCACCACTACTGCACAGCATTAACTGTTTATGATACAACCAGCAGCAATAGCTGATAGATATATTTAAATATTGGCGTAGGTATGTAATTTTTGAAGAACCTCTTTTTTGGTTTTAGTAGAATGTCATGACATTAGAAAACATGGCTACAAAAAAAATATTTGGGATATCATTATCAAGATGCACTGTTAAAATGTACTTCCATGAAGTTGTGTAGACCTGCTTTAACTTTTTCACTGCTACACTATAATCAACCTCTGAATGCTACATAAAATAAAATATTTTTAAATTTTGAGATGTATAAGATCTAAATATTTAAGTTTAAAATAATGCAAGCCAGGTTTCCTAAAATTTCATAGTTAATGACAAAATGATAATACCTATTTTAAATTAAGATACGTAACAGTATGTCTGGAGCAGTGAATAGGTTCTAGGACTAGAACTTTGGACTAAAACAAAAAAAATAATTTAACAACATTGCAATAATCATTAATCGTAATTGGCTAAAACTAACAAATGAAACTCTATTAAACCAAAAAGTTGTATTTACTTATAAGTAGAGTCCAGATTTTTAGATACTTATATTCGGTTTTATGAAAGTAAAATATTAAGTGGAAGTCACATGACCACATATAATAGAGATTACAAACCTACAAGATAGCAAATTTGTATTTAGCAGAACCACTTTTATGTTGTTAGCCTTTAATATTAAAGTGAATTGGCCTATTATTAAACTTACATTTAAGAATATTATCTAGGAGACCGCATAAGCTTTTATTGATATTTTCATTTTCAAGTGAGTTATAAGTTATAAGTATTTAAAAATGTTTATAATTCGATTTAATATTTATACTTCATCAAATGTTTACAAGATGCCTAGTTAATAATATTCTTATCTTTAGATTTTATATTAGATCATTTCACCCTAATATTGAAGCTAAAAAAACATAATTGGTTCTGCTCTCTGCTGAACGAAAAATTTGATATATTATAAGTTTGTAAGACAAATATAACATAACATACAGAGTATGGCGGCGTTTTTTTACAACAATTTACCCAATATAGATGATTTCTATTATTTTTTTAATACCTTATGATATTAATATATCTATTATAAAACCATTTATTATATAACTTACCATATTTTAACATTTTATCAATAATAAATATATGGTTTATCAACCTCCTGTAAGCAATAAAGCTTGTGTTTGAGGTTGAGAGTTATAATATTTAATAATAATATATGTGGATAAATTAAGATTGAGTAATGTAAAACATATGACATCAATTACATATTAATTAAAAATAAAATCATAAAAGTACAAAAAACGTTTTAGGTAATACATACATTATAGAACATAATATAAGTTAGTTACTATAAAAGTGAATATGAATACTAGACATATAATTACAATACAGATGTAATACATGTATATAAAATATTATTTCTAAACTGTGCTTGAATTGGAAGAAAATTAGAAGGGAGATGCAAAATGTGTGTACCTGAATATTAAACAATTTTATTGATTATTTAGGATATAATTAAAAGTGGTACCCCTAAATATTTTCTAAAAAAAAAAAAGAACTCCGTCACCCCCCCCTTCCTCCCACACACACACCATCCAACACTATAAAATCAAGCACATTTTCGAAAGGGTCCTTTTAAGGACCACCATCAGTTCTTTTCAGAGCTTCTAAAATACCTAATACAGATTTGATTTGTAAAATGATTTGGTTAACTTTTCTTAGGCTATACCATCTACCTATTTTTGATTATATTTTAAGAGTTGTTTATATCTAATATCTACTGTGCGTTGAACACATCAATCTATAAATGTCTTTAGCTCAATCATAATTCTTACTTAGCATCATGCTGAGGTATTGAGATTTGTTTACTTTTCAAAAGTTCCAATTTGTTCTGTTATTTGACTAAAACATATAGAACTAATGAATATTGAAATTAATTTCCGTTATTTTGGCTTTCTCTCCATTTAAGTTCAGTCCTATACTTTTTGCTGCTTGCTTTAGGGTTTTTTTGACAGCTCCCTAAACCATAAATCTGAAGCTGATCTATTGATACTCTAGTTGATTGTATCAGCATCCGTCTAAGCCAGTGGTTTTCAACCTTGTTAACAATGTGGTACAGTTCAATTATCTTTTTCATGTTTAATCAAGGCCTAAGGGTGACCAGACTTTTTAAATTTCACCTCCTATTTATTGAAATTTAATTTTATACTCTAAGGCACATTAGTTGGAAGACATTTAAAAAGAAGCTCACCATGGAATCTGGAGTGAATAATTTTCCGATGGCTGTTGATTCACTGAATCACTAAGAATCTCTTGTTGTGCCGTTGAGCCAGTTGTCACAGATAAAGAGTATGTGTTGCACATGATCTCTATCTGGTTCGCAGTACCAGGAGGTGGAAGACTGCAGTTTTCCAAACCTGTATAAATAATAAATAAGCTGGAAAGCAACCATGGCTGGTCAGGGCTTGTGTTAACTGAAAGGGGACTTCACTATAACCTCTGTTCATCTATTTCTTTATGTTATTAAATTTATCAGTTGGTCTATGTCCATAGACCTGACAATATAGATTCCTTTCTCGCTTGCCATTGGATGTATATGGTTTTTACTGCTCTCACTTGTACATTGTGCATGTGTACATCTTCTCGTTATATCTCTTTTTTCGTGCTGCAGTCAGCAAGTCCACTAGTGACAGGGATGCTATCACTAGCGTCTCTGTAGACACGTTTTGATAAATGATGATCGTTTGATTAACGCATGTGATCCTCAGCGCCGTATCCTGCTGCACTTTCAGAGTGCTTCCTTCCCTAGATGACCTATCCTGTCTGCCAAGATCGGTGAGCAAAACAATAGGATAGATTGAACAACACTGTCTAGCAGCTTCTTTATACTTTGTTTGGCAGCACTGCAGTTTTACATGATTCTCGCCAAGTGCTTAAATAGTTGCTTATACTGTATTCAGAATAAGAATGCCTACTTTTACACATGAATACTCAGCCGCCCGAACAGTTGGTCCACTTCGAGCAGTTCCAGGTGGTCTCTGATTGGTTGCCTATCATTAGCAACCAATATGAAAATGGAAGGGACTGTGTGGTTGACCAGTTTTTTCCGGTCCATAGGGCATTCTTATTCTGAATAGAGTATACCATTGTCTTTGAACTTCAGCTAATAAAGTTGGAGGCTTAGGTACCGTTTGGTTTTGGTAGTTTCATTGGCGAAGTTGCAAGAGTTGCTATATAATATACAGAGTAATTCATTTGTAATTGAAAACTCATTATTTCAAAATGTATAAATGTTTTTTATAGTTTCAAGTCGTTCCAAAATAATGTTTTTATTAAAAATTATATTTTTAATTACACTTTTTTAAATAATGAGTGTTTAATTTTAAAAGAATTATCTTGAATAGTTCATATATATACAGTGTTATTATCACAGAACACTTTAACTTAACCTAAAAATGAGAGTGTACCTCTCGATTAATTTGAGATATACCAAATTATGTACTACTGGGTCTACTAGATCATATACAATGGTTGGAGATATGCCCATCTCACCTGTGTAAACAATTTGACACATATATAAGCGACGAGTCTCAGAGTTATATGAATACACTGGAGAGAAGAAATATTTAGCATATTATTCATCTATTTGAGTTGGTACTTATTTATTTATTTTGTTTTATTTATGGACAAATATATAAATATATATCAATCAGTGGCCAACGGCTAAATATGTGACACATGTTGACTTCCGCCATCTAATTCAGAGACTCGTCCCTTATATGTGTGTCAAATTGTTTATACAGGTGAGAAGGGCATGGCTCCAACCATTGTGTATTATGGTCTAAGTCCCACACATAGTAAAATAGTGAATCGTAACAAAAGCTCAACATTCTATCACAGGTAGCACTATCTAAATTACATTTTTTAAAACTTAAATACTGTTAATCTTACTTTGTATGGGCCTGGCTTTCTGCAATAAAATGATTGCCACTTGTATTATTAATCTAATTCAGTTTCTAAGTTTTTAAAATTAGCTTTTTTTTTTTAGTTTTGATGATAACGTAATAAATTCTCACTGTACATGAGAAAATCTTTTTTTCATTTATGGTAAGTATAACCTTTGTGCAGGGACGTGCTCAAAGAATGTGTCATATCCCCATGGATTTTTATTTCTTAATTATGCATGAACTAGGTGTGCATAATGTATTAAGGTTTAATAAAATATATAAACTGAACCTTTGACTCAACCACATTTATACGTATTTACATTTAAATTTGTGAACTCAACCTTTAATATCTTGTACATAGAGATTCCCTAATCCCTTCACATTTTATAAAGCTGAGCATGTCACTGCCAATGAGTATATATTTTGAAATCTATATTCTATGGTAAGATTATTATATAAAATTTATACCACAGAATAGATACATTTGATTTACTAATAATTTACACTTCTCTCATATTATTAATATTGGTTAATGTTATAATGTCACACAAATATGAAAAAAAATTAAAATTAAATTATTAATTCTATGTTTCGGCTAGACCAGTCTTATCAGTATAAACATTATCATTGGTTTGTGATATTCTGTATTTTCCAATGATTATAACTATAAAAATAAGTAAACTACCTATCTTAAAATATGAAAAGTATAATATTGTATGTACCTACCTCTATATGGTTTAAATATATTTAATATTAGAAAACCGATGTAACAAACAATAATTATTATAAGTATTAGTTAACTCTGTTAAGTAATTTAAAATAGTTTGGATAATTACCCATGTTTTAACATTTTCCACAAAGTTGATAATACCTACCTATATCTTTTTATAAATAACAGTTTATGGTTTAATATTTGTGTTGAATTATATGTTTATAACTTATCAAATAAAAATTTTTGTAAAATGTTGTAGTATAATTAATTAGTATTAAAAGTATTTTACAGATATACGATGGGAAAAGTAAAGAATAGGAGGAAAAGTCTAAAATCATTAAAAAAAAAGCGTCGGTCTGTTAAGAATTCTAATTTGATTGTAAAAGAAATGATATCCAAAACAGTAGCTATGGACATTAATGAACCAAATGCAAGTGCAGTTGCTGTAATAGAGGATAACAATGAAAATTCACTTTCTACTGATGAACAAAGTATAAAAACGGTTTCTCCCAAAGTAACAGTACCAAACATTACAAATGACGAAATTATAGATATTACTAATATTACTGGTAGTGATAGTACATTTGAAAACTCCCCAACTGTAAGTCATAAAAAAACTGCCCTGAACATCAATAATGATGAAATAATAGATATTACCGATATTACTATCACAAGCAATACACGTGAAGATGTCCATAAACAATTTTCAAGTGATACAATATTGTTTGATGTTGATGATGATGATGTCCAAATTATTGATGTCCCTACTTGTGTTCAAAATAAATCTATTGAACTTATTACTATATCAGACGACAGTGATGAAGAAAATACATTAAATCAAGAATCTGTTGAAAAACCAAAGAATTTTAAATCTGTGCACGAACGTCTAGGTATTCCTACAACGGGCACAGTTAAAAGCTCATATAATAGTCCTTTACGTAACCGTAAAAGGAAATGGGAAGGAGAAAATACAACTAAATTTAATTATTTGGGTGACAACTTAGGAGGATTTATTATTGATACACAAAAAATTTCTTCTACTTCACAGAATTTTATTACGTTGGAAAAAAAACCTGTTAAGAAGTTCAAGCCACACGTATCTAAAATAAATACAACATCTAGAACCAATAGAAAGTTGCGACCAATCATCATTGATGGTTTAAATATTGGATTTGCGTGAGTTTTGTTTCTTAAAATTCTGAATTATTTCATTACAATATAGATATTAATAGCTTATGAAAAAATTAACATCAAAAACAATTTTAATGTGATATTAACAGAAGTACTTGGAAATATTCTAATTTTATATTTATATATATTTTACAGTTTTTTACATTATGTCATTATGAAATGGTATTATTCAACTTTTAAGTTTTTGATTACTGTAAAAATATTAAATCATAAAATTGATTTGTTTTTAGACATGGTTCAGGAACGTTTTCAGCGAAAGGCATTGAATTATGTATACAATTTTTCACTGATCTAGGACATAATGATGTGATAGCATTCATTCCACAACATCGACAGGGACCACCTGGGTCTGAATCGAACACCATCTTAAATAATTTAGTTAAAAAAGGGCAAATCTGTTTTACACCTAGCCGAAAAGTCCAAAACACAAGGATGACATGTCATGATGACCGGTAATTTAATGATTAGCAAACTTATTAGAATTAGCTCAACTCCAACTAATTCTAGGTCGGTCAATTATATGGCCCATATCACTTGTTTCGGTGCAAACAAAGAAACTACCTTTTTAACAAGAACTGTGTGAAAACATCAATCTATAAATGTCTTTTGCTCAATCATAATTCTTACTTAGCATCATGCTGAGGTATTAAGATTTGTTTACTTTTTAAAAGTTCCAATTTGGTGTGTTATTTGACTAAAACATATAGAACTAATGAATATTGAAATTAATTTCCGTTATTTTGGCTTTCTCTCCATTTAAGTTCTGTCCTATACTTTTTGCTGCTTGCTTTAGAGTTTTTTTGACAGCTCCCTAAACCATAAATCTGAATCTGATCTATTGATACTCTAGTTGATTGTATCAGCATCCGTCTAAGCCAGTGGTTTTCAACCTTGTTAACAATGTGGTACAGTTCAATTATCTTTTTCATGTTTAATCAAGGCCTAAGGGTGACCAGACTTTTTAAATTTCACCTCCTATTTATTTTTTTTATCTTTATCAGATTTAGTTAATTTAAAAATATCAAATAAGGGTGAAATAGTTTGCATGCACTTAGAAAGATTGTCTAATAATCTATTTATTAATGTGTCTATAATCAATTAGGTAAATTATATTTTGTAAAAATTTTTTATTTGATATATATCTCGTATGATTTTTCAAAAAATCAGATTTAGCATCAATTTTGAAGTATTTAGTAGAAAGCTGTTCAGCTGAATCAATCATGGCCTTTACTATGTTTATATGATGGCGTTAAAACGGTTTAAAACTTAACCGTTTTGAAAGTTAAAATGCTCACGCTATGTAGTTTAAGAACTTAAAACCGTTTTATTTGCATAAACCGGTTTATCAAATGTACATATACAAGTTTAAGCAAATAAAATGGTTTTAAGTTCTTAAACTATGTAGCGCGAGCGTTTTAACTTTCAAAACGGTTTAGTTTTAAACCGTTTTAACGCATCATATAAACGTAGTAATTGATACCTTGATTATCATCTCTAATATGAAATAATGATAATATGATACGCGTTTTATATTATTTAGTTATTACCCTAATCAATTACTGAATTGAACATTTTTTTCATGATTTGCTTTGCTAAATTTTCAATTGAGACTTTTGTTGACATCCGACTTTGGTTTTAACAAATTGCCGACTTGTAATGAAATATTACTAGTTGGTGGGGAAAGGATAACACACTACACAATTCCTCTATAATCTAGTCCGGTGTCTGGATTTTTATTTTGACAAATTTAGATTTAAAAAATAATAGTAGTTATTATATGATATATAAATATAACTGATTAACTACAGTAAATTGTTTTAAAAATTACATTCACCATCTCCTTTATTATTATTATTATTTCATAGAATTATACTCAACTACGCCCATAAATGTGACGGAGTGGTTGTTTCAAATGACAACTATCGAGATTTATATGAAGAAAGTGAAGCATTCAAAGAGATCATTGAAAATAGGTAAAATAATTATAATTTATGTTTTATACCCACTGCATAAATATAAAATGTGTTTAACCCAATATACAGTTTTAAAAATTAACATTTAATTAACAATTTGTTTAATAATAATAATAATATTAACATATTTATGCTGGGTTGTATAAATAATTTATTAAATTTAATGGATCACAAAAAATTTACTGAACCACTTTTTTTTAATGCCACTAAATCTTGTTTAAGGGACCATTAGCTCACTATTGATTCATTAAATGTTTTGCGCAACCCTGCATTAGATGTATAAATAACTTATTTTCAATATATTAATTAAATTATTCTTAGTAAGAAAATACAATTGGACATATCTTTCATAAATTTATTAGTGTACAATAATAATTTACTAATTTTTTTTATCATTTGTAGACAAGTAATGGTCACATTTGTCAGGGATGAAATAATCGTTCCAGAAGACCAATACAATCGAAGATCAACTATCCGGTCTCTTTCAGATATTTTGTGCTTTCCAGAATAAATTTATACTGTCTAACTGTTTAAATATACTTTAAGAAAGTAATATTTTAATTACAAATGAAAAGAAGGTTTAATTATCTATGTATTTTTTTTTTATTATTATTCATACCTATTTCATATTTAATGTGAGAAACATTTATAATGTATATTTAAAACATTTAAGACTGATAAATTTTCTTTATAAGTAGGTATAGAAATAATATTTTGTTAATTACATAAAAAAAAAAATTTAAAATAATGTTGTTTTAGTTCAAAACACTAAAATAATTACAATAATAATTAAAATACATTATTCATTACATTAAAAAGTTTTATTTATACCTAATAAATTATAATTTACAATTTTAGAAAGCAGTCAAATACATATAAAAACTATTATAATATAGGTAGCTCTTATTAACTTTTAAGTCCATACCAACATACTGCTTTAGAACGGTATGAATAGGTTCATGGTATAAATGGCTTAAAATGATATTAAACATTTTGAAAATCTTGTTAGGTATAGAAAATAATGATAGTGGCAAAAAAATTCAAATCCCTATGAAAAATATTGTTTGAATTGCAACTAAATAAATAAAACTTAGTTTATGCCAATTGTCTACTAATAAAATAAAATTATTAAAAATTAACATTTTTTATTTAAATATCTCATGTCTAGTCAGGCTTCGGTGCCGCAACTACCGGGGGTGCCCCAGTGGTAATCGGTCAAAAAGTCCGGTATGAAAAAAGTTGGACAAAAAGTCCGGATTCATTTTTTGATTGCCGGACAAAAAGTCTGAGTTCATTTTTACTGTCGGACAAAAAGTCCAAAAATACAAAATTGTCTATTAAAATTTTTTTTTATTTTTATTACTTATTATTTCTGCGATTACCGTCACAATGTACAATATCCCGAGTGAGATGTAAAATGGGATAGTCCAATCATACAATCATACGACTTCTTTTTAGGGATTTTTATTATACTTACCTACAGCAATCTTACAAAATAAAAATTGAACATTTTATAATTTTCACATTACGTTTGGAAATAATAATAATTTGATATAGGTACATTACGTTTGGGGCTATACAATAATAATAATAATTTGATATACAATAGGTACTTTTCCCCAAGAAATGATTGTCGATGTCAATACAATAATTATAGTTTTAAAAAAAGTTATACTATTTAAAAAATCTAGTCTACAATAATAATTTATTCTACATTAGATAGATTTAGCCATAGCCATATCCATACCACCATAATAGACAATTTTGTATTTTCGGACTTTTTGTCCGACAGAAAAAATGTACTCGGACTTTTTGTCCGGCAATCAAAAAATGAATCCGGACTTTTAGTCCAACTTTTTTCATTCCAGACTTTTCGTCCGGGATTCGCAGGGAGTACATGAAACCCCCAGACCCCCCTTGGATCATAACAATTTTTACTTTATAGACCACAGGTCAAACCATTTGGTTTAACATTTTTTTCTAAATTATTATGTTTACAATCCTACTATACAATAGGTAATTATTATAGCATCTCGTTTGATTGAAAAATAAATATGATCGTTTCTTTTAGTCATAGGCGGTCTGGTAAAAATTATTATATTATTAGCCCAAAATTGGTCCAATTTTAAAACCAGCCCACTCCTGCTTTTAGACCATATCAGCATTAACCATTATTCAATAAAGCTAAAAGTAATATAGCTATAATAAATCTAAGGATTTATAAATTAACTTATTTATTTTTATCCAAGAATAGAGTGATTTTGTTAATTCTAACACAGATTTTGGGTTAGAATGAATGGTTAAAATGCTTCAATTTTTTAGTATCTTGTCTGGTGGAACGTGAATTTAGTTCTTGTATTCGAGTGTTCGAAAATAAAAATTCCCCATACTATATAAAAAAAAAAAATGAGAATCCAGTTTTTGACAAAATCTTTTCTTTTTAGATTCTGAGTGAAACGATGAATGTATTGATTTTACAATGATGTGTGTTTTTTTATTTTTTTTAAATTTTTTTTGTGTCTTTGTACACGATAAGTAGTCGAAATAATGCTTCGATTTTCGACTTATCTTGTTCGATTGGAAAGTGAATATCGTTGGTGCATTGGGGAGGTCAAAATTTATAATTCCCAGTACTTTTCAAAAGCGCCAAGAAAAACAAAAGAAAAATTAAGAAAAAACGGGAATTTTTACGCAAAATTCATTTTTCAGAAAATTGAATTTGGTTTTTGGTGTAACATTAAAACAAATGACCGTAGATACATGAAATTTTCACTGGTTGTTTATATTTGCATTTTCTATACACGATAACATTTTCAAAATATTTTGATTTATTTTGAACTGTTTAGAGACATTTTCATTTTTTAGTTTTTTTTCTAGAAATATAATATAATATTATGTTGGTTAAAAAAACTTGAAAATTTAATAGATGGCTTCTAGTATATTATTTCAAAGGCAGATGAAAAATATTAAAAATCGTTAGTCACAGTTTTTTTTTATAAGCATTTAAAGTTCAAAAATTGTAAAAATATGGAAAAATCACGAAAATTAGCAAATTATTTTGAGTTAAGAATTCGTAAAAATTTTTCTTTTTAAATCTAAGATTTGAAAATGTAATACGAGATTACTCATAAGTTTGTCTACCTTTATCAATAAAAAAATCTCTAACGGACAGTCAAATTAAATTTTTATGAGCGTTTGAAATTCAAATTTTTACAACATTGGATATTCACTCGATTACTCATGTAGCGATTTCCTTATTTTGTTGCAATTCACAAACGAACAACTGTTTACAAGCTGTTTACGGATATTTTAATTTTTCAATTTTTTTAGTTTTTTAGATTCTGAGCGGAGCGATGAATGTATTGGTTTTACAATGATGTATGTTTTTTTTTATATTTTTATTTATATTTTTGTGTCTGTCATCACGTTTTAGGACAGTAAAAATGCTTGGATTTTCTTCATCAGTAGCTTTTTTGGTAGGAAAGTGAATCTAGTTGGTACTTTGGGGGGTCAAAGTATAAATTTCCCAGTTAAAAATCCCAACATTGGATTTTCACTCGATTACTCATGTAGCGATTTCCTTATTTTGCTGCAATTCAAAAACGAACAACTGTAGATACATGAAAATTCACTGAATGTTTAAATTAGCATTTTCTATACACCATACAATTTTGAAAATATTTTTGACTCTTTTTGAGCTGTTTATGGACATTTACAGCTTTCAATTTTTTTTAGTTTTTTTTTCTATAAATATCAATAAAGGTGTATCTGTTGGGCCAAAAGTGTAAAATGTTAATACAAAGCTCCTGATATATTGTTACAATAGCAGTTTAAAAATATTAAAAATACATAGCATGACTTTTTTTTTATAAGCATTTAAAGTTGGAATTTTGACAAAATTTATCAAAAATCTCGAAATTATCAATCGTTGGAATTAAAAAATTATAAAATTTTTTTAAACTAAGATTGAAATAAAACAAGATTCTTATAAGATTATACTGTAACAAAAAATCTTATCATGTTTACGGACATTTTAATTCAAATTAGACAAAATTGCATAAACCAGATTACATTTAGTATTTTGTTTTGATGAATATTATTCGTGGTACTTGAAACTCTAAAGTGTACATTATATTATGATAGTATCCGTTTTGTTGAATATACGCGTTACGTATCTAATGGATTTTTGTGATATGATTAGTGTAATTATATAGTACCTATTATAGGTCAATTTTTGTTAATACCATTAGTATATAATATCTTAAAATAGACTGATACCGTCCCGCTCAGAATCTTTTTCTTATACAATGATAATATATCATTGAATTCAAATTTAATACCATCCATTATGCAATGACCCACTTGTACCACTGTACAGCAGAGCGACACCCCTTGACTTTTTTTCTATGAATAAATACAGTCTGTTGGGCCAAAAGTGTAAAAAAATTAATTCAAGGCTCCTGATATATTGTTACAATATCAGTTGAAAAATATTAAAAATACATATGCACAGTTTTTTTATTTTTTTAAGCATTAAAGATCAAATTTTGACACAAATTTATCAAAATCTCGAAAATTATCAATCATTGTAATTAATAAATTATAAAATGTTCAGTTTTTATAACTAAGAGTTGAAAATTTAAAACAAAGATTCTCGTAAATAATTCATACTGTAACCAAAAAATCTAAAAAATATATAAACACACTTATGTTTTACAGACATTTTAATTTCAAATTTAGACAAAATTTCATATTTAAACCAAGAATAACGATTTTAGTTATTTTGTTTTGATTGAATAATATTATTCGTGGGTACTTGAAACTTCTAAAGTGTACTATTATATATCTATGATAGTATCACGGTTTTTGTTGATATATAACGCGTTATAAGTATCTAATGGATATTGTGATATGATTAGTTTGGAATTTATTATAGGTACCTACCTACCTATTATAGGGCAAATTTTGGTTTAGTACCATAGATATGTATAATGTATATATAATATGTCTTATACCTAGACTTTCATACCGTCTCCGCTCAGAATCGTTTTTCTTATACAATGATATTATATCGTTGAATTCAAATTTAATATCATCCATTATACAGTGACCCACTTGTAACCTACTGTACAGCAGAGCGACACCCACTTGCCCACCTTTTTTTTGATTTTAATACTATTTTTAAGTATTTTAATTTTTTTACAATACTGACATAGGTTCATACTATGCAATATAATTTTATTATTTATTTAATTTTTTTTTTCTTAAAATGGATTTTACCATAGGTGACTAAAAAACCTAACCACGGTATTATAACCTAACCAAGACCACTTTTAATTTTATTTTATATAGGTACTTACCTATTATTAATAATTTTAGGTTTTTTTTTTCTTTGTTGATTATTTATTTATGCTTCGTAAAATGCATTTACCTTCAGGTTAGGTCTATCTTTCATATCACATTTTGATTTTTTCAATATATTCTCGGAATAATTAGATCATAAAATAAAAATACAAATTTATATTTCGTATAAGTTTAAGCTGTTAAGTATGATCTAAATTCTAATGGCTAAGGCACAAATAGATAGTGCCATTGCGGAAGGTGGTTCAATCATGTGATCATTGTTATTGAGACACATTTTTAAAATAAATAACTAATAACTATTACTTATTAGGCGCCGGAGTCTCTGTGTCAGAGCTCTGTCACTGAAAGTCGGAACATAGTCTTATCATTTAGTATATATTATTATATACTATCTATACCATAGTCGTGTAATAAAACCTTCGACCATATAAACTAACTTAGTTTATATGGTCGAAGAATAAAACTATACTCAATGGTCTTATTATAATATTATATGTTCATTGTCGGAACCTTAATAGTTAATTATATCTATAATTGTCGGAACCTTAATAGTTAATTATATCTATAATTGTATGTGATCAAAGTTTGGAAGCTCCTAGTCAGAACAAACATTTTTGTTTCTCAGAAAAAAAAATGCGAACCTAATACCACGGAAGCACGAACTAAGATATAATAATGTGATGAAACTCTTGGGACGGCGGGGATCGGGGGACGGCCACGAAAAGATGTCACTTAGCTGATAAGAATACTGTTCTTGAAGTTTTCAGCGCTACCGGTGGTTTTATTTGGCTACACAATTTGTATCTTAGTCCGTGTTAAATATAGAGGGCGCTGTGAACTCCAAGAACAGATAGCGACCCCCCGCACTTTGCCTCTTGTACATACATTCGTGGCCATGATAAGCTGCTCGTTTCCAGTCCATTATATCTTAGTCCGTGCACGGAAGTAATATATTTATTGTATTTGATAAAACTTCCTTTGGAACAACTATTCTGTGGAACAAAAAGTAGTGATCCGATTATTATCACAGCTAGAGACTTTAATCATGATCACGATTAAGGATTCCTGAATACAGATTTTTAGTTTTTACGCGGGCCCAAAATATAATACATTCGACATACCTATACTCATAAATATTATAAATGTTACAATTTTTTTATTATGTAGGTAGTGTAAAGTGTGAAGTAAACGATTATATTTAACATAACATTTACATTTGTAAATAATTTAATAATTTTGTCTGATACACTGATCTGCATCATGGCCAATATATACCTACCTTATTTGAAGTTCTTCAAAGATCCGTTGCTCATAAAAGCTGAACTTATTTACGCTTTACAAGAATCCAGGGACAGATGTCTTCACCAAAGTACAAAATTGTAAGTATTCTTTTAGAGAGAGGACGTTATACCATATTATATATTGTAAATAACTGAATTTCTTCAAAAATATTTTTTTGTCCCTCATATGCTTAACCATTGAGTGTAAATACTAGTATTTATAATTAATGCTGTGACATTACAATATCGTCTTACGTTATAAATATTTGCAGTAGCCATGGTGTAGTGGCAATGCCCCCTCTCCCCAATTGGCAGTATTATTTTGATGTTGAACGTTTATGCATATTGACCTAACAGTCAACACCTTGGGTACAAAATATAGACACAACGTTGAGACATAGAATAAAAGGTACCTAATCTATTTTATAATTTTAATCAGTCTAATTGACTCTAAATATTGAAATAGAAAAAAATATGTATCTAAATGTATTGGTACCAAGACAGGTATTATTTGAAAAATATGATGTACTCAAACGTATTCATTTTTCGTGTCTAAAAAAATGTGCACCTTAACGTATGTTCCCAAACATTCTCCCAATTCCCATGTGGTCATGTAAATATACCTATCTTTTTGCGCCCGAACGTATTACGTCATAAGTTTTACAAATGATCACTATAAAACTGTTAAGAAATTACCATAGAGTTACTCTTTTTAATTGGTTTGTAATTGACCATTATTATATTATTCTTAGTTCTTTTTCCGTTTATCAGATAATAAAACGGTTGCTGGTTTTTTTTTTTTCTTCGCTTTACTTAATAATAATATAAAATAATTTGATTTTTTTTTTTGACAGTCTTTCAGAATTGATGATGACTTTAAAAAATATACCTCCATATTTTGAATTTGAAAATGAAAATAATGAATTTATACGTTTCGAGTTAGAACCAGCTTTCACCAATTTAGAAGATTATTTGGTGTATTTTAAGGCACGTGCATATTATGATCTGGAAGATTATCCCAGGTAATTTTAAAATCTATATAATATGTAATTGATTTTAATATATTTTTTAATATTATCTTTTTAGCTGCGCACACATAGCAAAACATACAAATAACAGCAAATCTATGTTTTTGCATTATATGGCTAGATATTTAAGTATGCATAATGAATGTATTTATGAGCGTACTAATTTATTTGATTCGTTTAAACCAATAAATATGCGAGCATATATGGAACTATTAGATGAACTATTAATACTGAATGTATATGGCAGTGAAGATGATTCTGATGAAGAATCTGAAGATGAACCACAACAAGAGGCATCCGATCTTGACGTTGTTAATCGAAAACATTCTATACAAGAAGATGATTCCACTCCTAAAGGAAGGCGATGCAGTAGGCGACCTCGTAGTTTAAGAATTGAAAAAGCTACCACAACTACTTTAGGAAAGAAAAACAAAATTACCAAACGCAACAACACCGCCAAAAAAGTCAAAGTTACAGCATTAGCGACTCAATCTGAAAATAATATGTCATCTGGTGATCACAAAGAGACTAGGATTAAACGCGAAGACCCATATTTGTTATGGCTCACAGCTGTTATGTTAAAAAGAATAGATCGATGTGATGAAGCTGTAGATATATTGGTCAGAGCAATACAAATTCAACCTTGTTATTGGGGTGCGTGGATAGAGCTATCAACACTAGTTAAGGACTTACATATGGTGATTACTAAAAATATTTTATTGCAATTAATTATACCGGTTAAAACAGTTTGTTCGATTATTTATTATGATTATTAATTTTTCAGCTTGATGCTTTGAACTTACGACTTAATGAAAGCAAAGAACATCATTGGATGCATCTTCTTTTTATTGCACATATGTATATTGATTTTCAAATAACTGACCGAGCACTAAATATATACAATGATATTTGGAAGCTGGGCCATACTGTTTTTCAAGATTGGCCGTATATGCAAGCTCAATTAGCTATTGCCCATCATAACAAGCGCGGTAAATATTAATTGATTACTAATATTAATACGTCAATTAACTTTTAACAACAAGTTTGAATTTTTTACAGAAATTGCAACTGCAATAGTATCATTCAAAACTGTTATGGAAATGGATCCATTCAGGATAGATAATTTAGATCTATTATCAAATCTTATGTATGTCTGTACTAGTCCTGACGAACTCGTAGTTTTATCCAAATATGTAGCCTCTATCGACCGTTACCGTCAAGAAACATTATGTGTCCTTGGTAATATATATTAATAATAGTGTATTGAATTTAAAGCAAAATTTAAAATCATCTGTTGTTTAATTCTTATAAAGTTAATTACATTTGTATTGTAGAATATCTTAAAGGAGACTTTTAGTTAATCCCGTATAAAAATGTTAATTTTCCCCCATATGTGGTAACAGTTAATTTAATATAATATAATGCTCTTTAACAATTTCAATGATTTTGATTATAATTATGTAGTTATCTTGATGTAAATATTAAAAAAGCACTAGAAAACGGGAAAGCTGATTTCATGTACTTCATGAAATATATGTATTAATTTAATACATTTTAGTACATTTAATCTATAATTTTTTATTAATTTATACATTTATAATAGGTATTTATTTTGTATTTTATATTGCTTTAAAATGTGTGCACTTCTAATAAATATATTTTTTTAATAATACCATTTTGAGAACATAATATTAATTTTATAAATTTGTTTTTAGGGAATATGTATAGCTTAAAATGTGATCATGCCAAATCAGTTTTATATTTTAAAAAAGCTGTGAGAATTAATCCATTTAATGTAACTGCTTGGACTTTATTGGGGCATGAGTACATTGAAATGAAAAACTCTTATGCTGCCATCATCTCATATCGACAAGCTTTAAGTAAGTTATCTTGGCTAGATTATCAATGAAAAAGTAATTATGAAAAAAATGTTTCTTGTTAGATTATTCAAAACTACTGTTAGTTTTACAAAATGTCTTTTAGAGTATCTATGGATTTATTTTTTAAATAATAGGCGTGAAAATATAATACAAATAATATAGGCACTTAAGGTAATAAATCATCTTAAACACTTGTACCAATTTTAGTAATTTTGTTATTATTGTTTATTAATTTACTTAAATATTTTTGATGAAATAAAATACAATATTATTATATTGATATAATATTAATGAGAAATAAGTATAAAACAACAATAAACCATTTAGTTTTAATATAATTATTTGCATTAAAAAATTGTTCAAAAATATTAAGATTTTAATTTTCAAGATAAAATATTTTGGATGGTGGGATGAGTTTAAAATAAAGCATTCAATTTATTCAAACAATGGATACTTGCCAGTTATTACTTATTAATGTTTCACTTAATTGTTCCTAATTATAATAATAATAATAATTCAAATTATTTATGTTCACAGAAATAAATATAAGAGATTACAGAGCTTGGTATGGTCTAGGCCAAATTTACGAACTAGTGAAGTTGCCGAATTATGCATTGTTCTATTTTACACATGCACGTGACTTAAGGCCTAGAGATTATCGTATGCTAGTATCTTTAGGAGAAATGTTTGAACGTGCTGATCGTATTTTTGAATCAATGGCTTGCTTCTATAAAGCCTTATTTTACGATACTGATGGAACAATAATGCTAAAACTCGCAAAGTATATTACTCATAATTTGTTTACTATATACTTAAGTTTGTGTGTTATATTAGGTAATTAAATATGTTTACAATTGTATTGCATCCTACCATTATAATTATATTTTAATCTAAGATATTGATACAATTTGGCTGTAATACTAGATATTGCCTAGTGTTCATGTCATACTTTCATCAAGTTCAGTGACAGTCCCAGAAATATATTCAAGTAACGGCCATCCTAAGATCTAATTTTATGAGTGTGCAATGAAATATTAATGAAGAAGTAGGGGTATGACTACTATAGAATACACAAAGTTATTACAAACAATATTTATAATAATAACATAATGTTTTGGTGTAAACATATCATTTTATAACAATATTTTGTATGCGCCATAGATATTAAATTGTAAACAATTGCGCACATGATAAATTACATAATAAATTATTATTTTTCAGTGGTTACCGCTTATTATAATCACAGTTAATGTTATCAATCGTATATTGTTATTGAAAAGTCTAAGAACTGCACTGTATTATGTACATACTTTAATTTTTGTTTAGTATTATCAGTTGGTTTATGTTATCCGTTTTGTCCAGTACCAAAGTGATTAATTTAAGCGACGACCACTGTAATTGTGATAAAATGTGAAGGAGCATCTAAGCATTTTTATACGGAAGTATTATTATAAGGAATATGGTGATCATTTTTTTTTTAAATATAAAATTAAGTATACTTTTTAGTTTTTTACCACAATAAGCTTATAGTATGCTAAAAAAATTATAAAATATATGTAGTATAAAAAAAATTATTTATTACATTTTGGTAACTCAGTGACCACATATTTTTCTTTTACAAGCAATAGCAGTAACAAACACTTAAAAATTGAAATTGTTGAATGAACTTGTTGTATATTATGTTAAAATAAAACTAGCATTATTGTGAATTAAAAAATCAACTAAATATTAAATATTTTATATTTTTATAGGTGTGTAATATTTATTTAATTTTTATAGATTTTATGATAAATATGGAGATTGCAGTAATGAATTAACCCGTGAACATTTTAATATGATGAATAGAAGAGCTTTAAAAATTGGAATTAGGAATAGAACTACTATTGAGTTGAACTTGATATTAAGCAAAATATATTTGTACTTGGGACATTATTATATGGATCTACATTATTATGATCGAGCTATTTCTTTGGCTGGAAAATGTCGTGATTTGTGGAAGGAACCGGAGACAATTGCTTGTCAATCCTTAGGAGTAAATAAAATATAATTATTCATTATGTAATATAATATATTGTATTTATTTTCAATTTCTAGGTGACAGAACATGTTACTGCTCTATTAGCTGAGATTGAAGCTAGAGCCGGATCCGATAGCTCTCTCGCCCCAACACCTAGTGCCATTAAAGCACGCAGATTTTTGTTTGCACTTTAATACTTGACTTTACAAAGTTTAAATAATACACTTCATATAAGGTCAAACTTAATCAGTTGAATTAGATATTTTTAAATATTTGTATTTGTATTTTTGTAATTTATTTTTAAAATAATATTGTCTGAATGATTATATTAGTTATAAATTTTTTTTTTTTTGTATAGTAGGATATACTGCTTAAAAAGACATGGTATTGACTCGTATTAAATATGATGAATCCGTTTTACTAATACATGACCTAAGGTACAGTTTCTAAGCTGCAATAAGATGTTGTAGCAATCACTGCTCTACTATGGAACAGCATACAATTCATGCATATTTCCTATAAGTATGTATATTATACAAATCTCATCAGAGTTATTGAGTGGATAATTTTCTTCACCATATTTTGCATAATAGGGGCAAGGTTAGGAGGTTGCAAAAACGAAAATATGAATTAGGTAGTATTGTTTGGTACAGAACCTGCAAAACCAAGGTTTGGTGCTGATTATAACAGCCTGAGTGGCTGAGTGTTTAAATTGTATGCTTACATGTCTATATTATATATTTATATATCTATATGTCGTAATCAGGGTTAGGATGTTGATGACCTAAAAAAGTACCAAAATGCCAAAAATTATTTTAATGAAATATAAAAAATAGTTCCTTTTACAGTTAATACGTCCATATAAATTTAATCTTGTTTGGATTCCATTCAATTAATAAATATAATACTCGATAAACAACTTGTACCTATATTGGTGTATGTGTGTAAAAGTAATTGTATACGTGACCGATTAATCTGTGTAGGTAAGCGATAAATTTAATTACAACAAAAACCCTCTAATGATAATAATCATTCACTCATTTTTTTAAATGCACAAATTTTCTTGAAAATCTAAAATTTGAGAAAAACTTCTGTGCTAAGCGGATTTTTCAGTATTTCCGACCAATAAAAATGTTGGAAAGTCAACTAAACCGGATTAAACACAAAATTGTTCCGTGCATCCAGTTTAATTAACATATAATTCTAAAATAAACATCCATATACACAACAGCCTTAATATATTATACACAAATATTAGAAGTATAAACAAGCATTGAAATGAACTAGAACATCTTTATACCTCATTAAAGGAAAAATATCATAATATGACTGAATTATATTACATCTGAAGCATGTAAAATCTTCAACTCTGAATATATTCCATTCTGCATAGGCTTTAATATAGAAACTACAAAAAACAATTTGTGTAAATCAGATGGTATCATTATGTTAATAAATAATCATATAATAACACAACACAACAGAATTAATTATTCAAGATACAAATTGCTCACCTATTTACGTTAATAGAACATATTATAATGGTCATAAATATAGTATTCTGTCCAGTGGCGTAATTAGGAATTTGGTTTTTTTTTTGGGAGGGGGATATACGTTTTTAGCATACATTAATGGTCATTATCAATACTTTGATCAAAATGTTAGCAGTAAAAAAAAAGTTTTGGGGGCATCTATCCCCTTACCCCCCCCCCCCTAAATACGCCCCTGATTCTGTCGATATACAGATCTTCCAATGGCAATATTAATAAATTCCTAATAGAATTCAATACTGTAATTACAAGCCTAGTCAATATGATCATAGAATTGATTTTATGAAGTTTTAAATGTTTTCGTTTATTCCTTCTATAAATAGACTAGCGTTTTATTTGTTAAGCCCTATCAGAAGCAAAATAACAGTAGGTATATCCATTTCTAGGGAGATACTGTATTTATTCTGACAACATTTTCATTTTAAAATAGAGATACTCTTATTTTTCTTTAAATTTATAGTTAGGTAATTTATTATTATATAGACAAATGGAAAAATTGAATACCTATGTAATAATTTATTATTACAATAAATTGGGTACCTATATGTAAATAGGTAAACAGGTAAGTTGCAAACACTTTTGAGCAAATAAGAAATTTTTATTTAAAAAAAATTAACAATTACAAAATAGCAGTGGACTGTGTTGATCTTAGAATTGTATCAAGATAAATAAAAAAAATGGTGGGCAAGTGGGTGTCGCTTTGCTGTACAGTAGGTTACAAGTAGGTCACTGTATAATGGATGATATTAAATTTGAATTCAACGATATAATATCATTGTATAAGAAAAACGATTTTGAGCGGAGACGGTATGTCAGTCTATGTATAAGATATATTATATACATATCTATGGTATTAAACAAAAAATTGACCTATAATAGGTACCTATAATAAAATCCAAATTAATCATATCACAATATCCATTAGGTACTGGTAACGCGTTATACATCAACAAAAACCGTGATACTATCATAGATATATAATAGTACACTTTAGAAGTTTCAAGTACCCACGAATAATATTATTCAATCACAACAAAATAACTAAAATAGTTATTCTAGGTTTTTTAATATGTAATTTCTTCCAAATTTGAATTTAAAATATCTGTAAAAAATAACTGTGTTCATATATTTTTTAGATTTTTTGGTTACAGTATTAACTATTTACGAGAACATTTGTGTTGAATTTGCAATCCTTAGCTATAAAAACTGAACATTTTATAATTTATTAATTACAATGATTGATAATTTTCGAGATTTTGATAAATTTTGTCAAAATTTGATCTTTAAATGCTTATAAAATAAACTGTGCCTATGTATTTTTAATACTTTTCAACTGATATTGTAACAATATATCAGGAGCCTTGTATTAAATTTTTACACTTTTTGGCCCAACAGATAAAACTTTATTGATATTTATAGAAAAAAAAACTTAAAAAAATTGAAAGCTGTAAATGTCCATAAAAAGCTCAAAAAGAGTCAAAATATTTTAAAAAAGGCATGGTGTATAGAAAATGCTAATATAAACAGTCAGTAAAAATGTCATGTATCTACGATCATTTGTTTTAGAGTCACACAAAAAACCAAAATCGTATGGTGTATAGGAAATGCTAATATAAACATTCAGTGAAATTTTCATGTATTTACAGTTATTCGTTTTTGAATTACAACAAAATAAGGAAATCGCTACATGAGAAATCGAGTGAACATCCAATGTTGTAAAAATTTGAATTTCAAACGCTCATAAAAATGTAATTTAACTTTTTGGTAGAGATGTTTTTATTGATAAAGGTAGATAAACTTATGAGTAATCTTGTATTGCATTTTCAAATCTTAGATTTAAAAAGAAAAATTTTTACGAATTCTTAACTCAAAATAATTCGCTAAATTTCGTGATTTTTCCATATTTTTCCAATTTTTGAACTTTAAATGCTTATAAAAAAAAATTGTGACTAAGGATTTTTAATATTTTTCATCTGCCTTTGAAACAATATATTAGGAGCCTTCTATTAAATTTTCAAGCTTTTGCAACCAACAAATAAAATGTTATTGATATTTTTAGAAAAAAAACTAAAAAAAATGGAAAATGAAAATGTCCCTAAACAGTTCAAAATAAATCAAAATATTTTGAAAATGTTATCGTGTATAGAAAATGCAAATATAAACAACCAGTGAAAATTTCATGTATATACGTTCATTTGTTTTAGAGTTACACGATTTTTTGGAAAACCAATTTTGCATAAAAATTCCCGTTTTTCCTTAATTTTTATGTTGTTTTTCCCGGCACTTGTGAAAACTACTGGGAAATTTATATTTTTGACCCCCCAAAGTACCAACTAGATTCACTTTCCTATCAGAAAAGCTACTGATGAAGAAAATCCAAGCACTTTTACTGTCCTAAAACGTGATGACAGACACAAAAAAAAATAAAAAATATAAAAATATAAAAATATAAAAACACACATCATTGTAAAACCAATACATTCATCGCTCCGCTCAGAATCTAATAAAAAGTGTAAATAAAAGAAATATTGTATTTGTATACTTAGCCTCCCACTCCAATACAAAATTTCTGGCTACGCCACTGAAAAATTGTATTTAAAATATTTTTATCTGACCAAGACATTGTTATAATAATTATAATTATATAACAACTATTAATTTCGTTGTCATCTTATAAATCTGGTTAGATAGGTACAACTGTAGTCTGTGAGTGTGAGCGCCGAATTACATAATTAATAATTACTAATAATAGGTACTTTAATTATAAGAAATAGTGAAAATGAAAATCTTCTGACAGATTTTTAAAGAAAAAATATTGTATTTAAACAAAATAAATGAGTTAAGAACTGGGGATTTTGCGCTAACATGTCTAGAAGGTACAATATTGTTGCCTCCTCAAAAATTTAATGCCAGAACCGCCACTGGCTAAGAACCAACAAAACCTACATGGCTTCATAACTTATGAATTTCATAACTACCTATATCCTTAGATCACATACTTGTATATATGATATTATAATCTAAAACTACATCGATATCGATATAATTATTTGTACATATTAATAAAATTAATTTAACGATGTTAGTATCTAGGTAGGTACCTATATTATTATCTAAATATTATAATCCAAACTATAATAAAATATAATTGGTATTTAAAATCTTAAAAATTTGTTAGTATAGCCAGTATAGGTATGTAAATATAAAATACATAATATTTTTTTATTACCCACTATAAGACAGGTACAAGGTCTTACAATAAGCTTTCGTTCCACAACTTAGCTGGTGTACCCACAATTATAATATAGATAATAGACTATATATCTATGTTTATGGGTGCCAGGATGTACCTATATCGGATTTGCAACAAGACAATATATTGGACGATATGAATTTATATAATTATATCATTTCCATATTACTACCTAAGTAGGTGCTATCTACTTATAGTATTGGAATTCACAGTGCCATTTTATGTACCTATGACATAAAATGGCCATATTATCAGGTACTCGAATCGGCCATGTACTATATTTATAAATAAATATAGGTATACCGTCCGTGCTTTTTTTCCTTTCTATTTCGTACTTGTCGTTTTATCGCATTTATGGGTAATTATTGTTCTTGTTTTTTTACATTTAACG